AAGTGAGTTAAAATTTTTTTTTTAAGAAAGTAAGAATGGGAGGACGACGGAGGACACGGGTCGTTTACTTTGGATAGACGCTTCGTGTCAACACTAACCGTGGCATTATTAGTACTGTAACCTTTACCATACAATCGAAAATTACCAACTGTTGTACCAACGTCAACAAAATAATGTAAATGACGCAGCTGGGTGGATAGCGACTTTAAAATGTTTTTATTAAGTTGTCTTCGCTCAAGTCATTCAAATATTTTTTTTTCTAAGTGTATTGATTTTGGCTAAGGAGAAAATTTAGTTATTGTGTGCTGACTGATGTCCCGCTATCATCTTTCACTGGTCGTTGAACTTTGATATGGCTCCGTTCTGCTTTTTTGACAGAAACAAATTAAACACATCCTCTTGCTTTGAACGATCTTTTATGTAAGAATGAAAAGTCTGTTTACTCGTCAATAACGAGCAAGTTAAATATTCAAATCACCATTTTCACCGATTATGTTAATCGTAGTCTAACTAGCGTTAATAGAAGTTAACTTGGAAGTTATTTAACCAGAAAATGCATTTTCATTGTCAGGCATATTGCTGCATCGCAAAGTTTCCTGCGTCGATAAAGCTACATCTGCTCCATCTGCAGTTTCCATTATCGTTGTGATATTAGGAAGCTGATGCTGAAAGTTCTGAAATTATTAATAGATTGGAACTGGATTTCATTTAAGTAGCGTTTTAACCGATGCTTTGTTATTCTGTCAGAGGCGCCACGCGTCTACAAAATAACTAACAAAACAATTTTATGAGGGAAATTTTTGACATTAACAAGCAGTTTCTCTTTTCGTCCATTCGTGGTTTTCACTCTCGTGCAATTTTTATTTTTGATAACAAATGGATTCACACCATGTTTTTTTTTGAGATTTTTAAATAACGAACCCTTTAAACTCATTCTGAAAATTATTTTCGTATTAATTTCTATTTGTTCTTAGTAGCCAACTTGGATCGACGCCAGAATAGGCAATTAAAATTTTAACGCATATAAAATATAATTTATCCATTTGTTTCTACTCAGATGCGGCATTTACATAATGTTTACGTTTAGCGAATCTGTACAAGGTTTTCCCCTGGCGTTGTGACACAGTGCCTTGTGGAATGAGGATTTTATGGCAAAATGTAGTTTTAAAGAACGTGTAAGTTTTCAAAAAATGTTTATAGCTGGTATTCGATATCTATAAACTTAAAAAACAAACAAACTCTATGGAATCAACTAAACCTATAAAATTAACTCATTTGGACTCTTTTTTTTTTCGTTTGACAATTTTTAATTCCAGATTACATCTGTTGTAAAAAAATAATTTTTGTAAAATTTGTAATGAAAGTTAGATCCACATCCTTAAATCGAAATTAGTAACTATCGTCGAGAATTTTAAGTAAGCACACTAGTATAATAAGGAATAGGCGAGATCAATCTATCGAGTGTCTGGAAGTTATAATAATTTTAAAATTGGTTTTTTCGCTATTTAACAACTTTAACAACTAACTACCTCTTTTCTTAGAGGATATCTCATTTGCCAAAATTATCTTATCAGGTACTAATACCGCCCACCCACCCTCTCTTTTCTTAGAGGGTGTCATTTACTAAAATCACTTTTATCTTAGCAGGTACTAGCCCCGCCCACCCACCCTCTCTTTTCTTCGAGAGTATCTCATTTGCAAAAATCAGTCTTATCTTATCAGGTACTAGCCCGACCCAACCACCCTTTCTTTTCTTAGAGGGTAAGTCATTTGCTAAAATCGGTCTTATTTTAAGCAGCTACTAGCCCCGCCCACGTACCCTCTCTTTTCTTAGAGGGTGTCATTTACTAAAATCAGTTTTATATTAGCAGGTACTAGTCCCGCCCACCCACCTTCTCTTTTCTTAGAGAATATCTCATTTGCCAAAATAAGTTTTATCTTATCAGGTACTAGCCCCGCCCACCCACCCTCTGTTTCCTTAGAGGTTATCTTATTTGCCAAAATCAGTCTTATCTGAGCAGGTACTAGCCCCGCCCACCCACCCTCTCTTTTCTTATAGAGTTTCTCATTTCTCAAAATCAGTTTTATCTTAGTAATAGTAATAGTAATTTTATTCATGACAAGAATTACATAGTAGTTTTTTATACGTCAATAAAATTAGATATAAGTACACTGGAACTATCAAAATTTAAATTTTACAAATTCTTCTAATGAATAAAAAGCATTCTCAATCAAGGTTTTTACACACAATCTAAAATTGGAATAATTTTTGTCTTTAAAACTCAGTGGAAGACTGTTACATAGCTGATGACAAAAAAATCGTATACCATTTCTTGTACGTGAAAGCCTTAGAAATTCGGGTTAAAATAAGCTCTTATGTCTTATAACATATCAAGCCCTCTAAATTAATCACTGTTTCTTTTTGCATACAGGAGACAGGAGAAAATGTATATAGAAGGTACAGTCATTATTCCTAGTATTTTGTAATACTAATAATTTGCAAATAATTTGTCCTCTCTTTTCCAGGAGAGTATCTCATTTGCAAAAATCAGTCTTATCTTGGCAGCTAATAGCCCCGCCCACCCACCCGTCTATTCTTAGAGCGTACGTCATTTACCAAAATCAGTTTTATCTTAGCAAATACTTTTACAAAAAAATGATCAAAATTTGGAAAGATTACGAGCTTACGTATTTGCACGAGGCAGGAATTTTGTACATCTCTAGTATTTAGTTGATTATACTTTAATGGATTTTTCTTTTGTTGGTTTTGTTTTTGTTTATAATTTATAAATGTCTTGTCAAAATGTTTTTTTTTGGTTTATTTATTAATGAAAATAACAGCTTGCTTTATTAATAATAATGTAAATCTAGTAATGACTACTAGTTGTTATGGTTATTGTTCTAAAAAAAATAAACAGTGGATTTCAGTTACCATCGTTACTAAGAAATCGGAAATTAAGCCGAAAGTATTGTCGCATTAGGTGCGTAATTTTATAAAATTACGTTTTTTTCGTAATCTACATCGTAAAAAAATGTTTATTATTTTTTTTGGGACTTTCGAAACCTCCGTACATAACGTACTCGAGAGTTGAACCACCATTTTCCAGACACCCCGTATATTAGCGTTCCACAAAAGTATGATTTGGGTCCATTTTTATTTCTGATCTATTCGATCTATGATATACTGTAGGCAATACCCTCTCTAAAAGTATAGTGAACCAAGAGCTATAAGGTTATATGGCCATCATAAAATCATCCCATTGTGTCGAAGTTAAGTTGTTTACAATAGAAAAGGTTTTAGGGTCGTAAATAACGAGTCCACTACAGCTCGACCGGCTCTTGCGGTTTCGTTCAGGGGCGGCTTTCACTAAATATGAAAATCCACCACTCCACTATTTCTTTGCTACCTGCAGCCGCTGAGGGTTCCGAAATAACCACTCGCTTTGAAAGCCGGCCCTGTTAAATATGAGCAAGAAATGTTTAGAAGATGATTTATTGCCAACCGGTAAGCTTAGTGCGAACCACACAAAGGGGGTATTTATTTGCGGTCAACTAATTTTATGATGGCCATATAACCTTATACCTCTTGGTTCACTATACGTGGATGACATAGAAATATTGAGTTCTGTTTTACCTGGCCATCATAGTTTGTAAAACTGGCCTGACCTGACCTGACCTGACCATCATAGTTTGTAAAACAACTGGGTTCGAGATTCGTTCATGCGTTTATGAATTTTGAATTTTATTTTTGCCGGATAGACCAGATACTATTGTATTGTGGGATTTTCGCCTGTATTGCTCAGTGCTGGTTTGAGGCATATCCTGCTTGAGCAGATCGCAGCGTAAATTCAGTACTGATTTGCCCCACAACGACTACATTTGACTTAAATTGAAATTGTTCTAAAATAAACATAGTTGACGAAATCGTCGAAATAAAAAGCGGCATAATAACGTTGCTTAAATACAGACGAAAGTAATAACTTGGCAACATTGTCCGTTAAACTAAATAAGTATCTTGAATCTTTGGATCACAATTAGAGTGTCTATAGATAGTTATTAAATGAGGCAGATAATCTCTTCACCGAGGCCCGCGAGAAATTTATACGTATCGATTGCCAGGTTTGCGAAGTTTCTGTAAACAGTGCAATGATCCGCCTCATGTTGATTTAATTATTATAACTTGTAGATAATTTCTCTAGAAACCGCATCGTGCTTTGCTAAACATACGTTGTTAGACGTTGGCACATGTCAATATTGGATTTTGAATAAAACGAACAAGGATGTTTATGCGACAAAACAATTATAATCCTTCGTAACTTGACGAGAACAAATAGAAACGACACATTACAGCAGATTAATCACGATCACTCATCGTTGCACTGACAACGTAAACCAATCTAATGGAATATTCGCGCGCTTTCAAATAATATTTATTCGTTTATGAAAATGAGGAAAAAAGACGGCCCGAAGCTGAATCTTGCGGGACGCCTGAGGTTGAAAGTTTCTCGTATGTTGCTGTTTTCGTCACAAGCGTCGTCTAACGCGAGTAAAAGAGTATTGTCAAGATCTTGGAACTTGGAAGATCCAAAAAACGGCGTTCTGCTAAAAATATTTCGATGGAGGTTGGTGGATTTAGGGAAGTAGCTTTCGCGTGAAAAGCGGGTCTCCAAGTTGAACTCTGCGGGACTGGCGGTCTTGCAAACTTTCTGGTGTTTTGTTGCTTTCGCCAGTAGCGTCGTTCGACGGGGGTAGAAAATTGTTTTGAGTGTCTTGGAGGTTGGAGGATTCGGGAGAACAGCTTTCTTACGGCCGCGGCTTGCATTTCAGTGTCCGCGGACGTTGCGTCCGGTGCATCCAAGTCCAAACTTTCGTAAAGCAGTCCGCGTATCGGGTGGGGCTGTGTTGGCTGGAAGACGCGCGCCACTGAGCGTCGCGACGCGAGGCGACGCGGAAACACGTTGCGCACCCGGCGTCGAACAGCGTGTAGTATGACCCGAGAATCGAATAAGAACGTCAGGTGGTGTGCCGGGCCACACGAAACCACGAATAACATATCATAAATCCGGTGATAGTAACATAAATATCGGTTATGTTAAACTTGCTTGTAGTGCCTAACAGATCTATTTATTTTGTGGTCCGTTCCTACGAAGGGAATCGATTTTGGACCCAGGAAGATGATTGAAGGTACCGTTTTGTAGTAATTTTTACTCTAGCGTGTCACACTTAGCGTGTGGATTGGAGACGAGTCATGTGGTTTAGCCAGATGACTTTTTGCATCCCCTCCAGCGGACGCATGGAGTCTCCAAACTCACGTGCTACTCCAACGCCTCCACTATAACCTCTCTTCTTGAGGGGTTCGCCGACGGACGGAGTGGAAAGCGAATTTTTTAAGCTATAAATACGAGAACAGACACGATAGACTAGTTCTGAATTAGTTTCCACTCTTGCCACTCAAAAGCTCATAAAACTTAAGTTCATATTTAAAAATAGTTTATTGGTCTTACGCTGGATAAATAATTAAAGAAACGTGTTTAATAATACGCTAACTGTGTTCTTCCGAGCTCTATAAATATGACGAATTCGAAAACCGGTTTGAGGGACGTGCGACGGAATAGCACTCTATGTTTATCAAACACAACTATGGTAACTAGCTTGAACTTATCAAGCTCTTTCTAAATTTCGATCGATCTTTCTTTTAACCTTGATCCAAATAAAAATTTCATAGACAAATTGGAATAAACATATGAACATATGATTTAATAAGTGTGACAATCAATAGAATCGGAATCAATAACGTACATATCGTAATGCGATAATGTGATAACCAGTCACGTGGCATGAAACTCTTCTTTGTTGATTAAACACAAAAAGACTCGTTTTAAATCTCTTCATTCATGTCATTCATTCAAGATTTTCTCATTTTTCATTCATGCTCTCATGCCGTGTATGCACTAATCTATTAAACGTCTACAATTTTGCAGACTCATCAAGCACCTCAAGCCGCACAAAACGAAAACTTTAATCACCTCAGATGATGTCATCTAGGAGCACTATCGTGTCACGTGCGCTTCTATTAACACGTAATTTGACTTCTGCCGTCTTTAATTAACTCCCCCTAGTAAAAAACTACCATTCCATTTGCAACTGAAGAGATCCATAAACACGCTTCTCGAAAACAAATATTTAGCGACGAAAGATCATCAAAACTGGGTTAAATATAGGCATAGAGCGTCCGAGTTTGCACAAAACAGTGCAGCAAAGGGAGAGTAAACTCAAATCTGGAATTTTTCCCTACAGTATCGATGAGTAGAAGTTAGAGCGTGCTTCAAACTAATTCATGTTTGCCCGAACTCATTTTAATATTCTCTTCTGGTGTGCGTAACTGTTTGATTTGTTGGTTAAGCTGATTGAAAATCGGTTTCATGGCCTTTCAGCTACATCTTTGTGGGAAAGTAAATTTAGAGTATAGTAAAGGTCATTCAGGAGGGTGATGATTTCAGTGTCCGACCGGAATCTGAGTCGATTTTTAATGTTGTCACGTTGCTCAGAAATTTGTAAAGGGTTAGGTATGCTCGGAATGGGAAGGAAATGAATTTCTTGATCGCATATATTATCGATTTCCAGAAGAGGTATCTTTGCTCCATTAATTAGAACGAATCTAAAACTCATTAAGCGATGGATAAATTAAGTATGAGGGAATATTTAGGGGAGGACTTAATAACGAAACGTCGGGAAGAGGAATCAATATGAGTTCCACTGGCGCTAAGCCATTCTTCTTCGGAAAATTCGTCGTGAATGACTAACCAATTCATGTAGGGAACATGAAGGTACTTCTGGTATTTACCAAGCGCAAGCGCGTTTCTATGGCTTTTGTTGGTAACGATCAGCTGACTCAAACATCGTTAAATATTTCAGAGCCATAATTGCAGAGTACAAGAAGAAAAAGCCTACGACTCGAGTGAACACTGTTAACATTATTAAAAAATCACGTTTGACATGCTATTAAATATTCACTGCGATCCCTTTATAATGCGTTGGGGGTCTGACGCAAAAAACTACCCTTCGTACTAAATACCAAATCAAACAGCTCATCCGTGGCTCCTCGGTCTTTTGATTGAAGCCCTTCAGAGCCGGACACCTTTAGGGCAACAGTTGCGTTTGCGTTACTCCGACCATAAAAACTCTGATTACAAAATACGGCAATTTAGGCGTTTAACCGGAGGGCGAGTATATGTTTTTTCCCACATAATATAGGCGGGGTCATTTGCGACCTTTATTGCCCGTAATACACACCTTTTTTATGCATGCACATACCCAAGAAACGATTCTTTCTCTTCTTCGACTAAACCTACCCCTGGGCGTTGGTTGAGCTGAAATCTAGTTCCATCAGCAACTCAAGTGGGAGAAAATTACTATTGGCAAGTTCATTATTAGATTTGTGAACTTGTTAAATTGCAAAAGTTTTATATTTGTTTCTGTTGACACAATCGAAAAACAATTACCGCGGGAGATATATTGTTCCAGTTTATAATCAGTTCATTGTCGCCAATATTTTGGCGAGAAGTTGAATTAGCGAAAAGTTTGAGGTTGTAATCTCATTTTTCATTGTGCTGTTGTTCGATACGGATTTAACTCTCGATTAAACAAAACCCCTTACACTTTTCATCTCTTACTAACAAAAGGATTAATGAATCAACACATGTCAGTGCCAACATGTGCACCCTTCCGTCTTGTCGCTCCATAACCCCGTCTGCAAAAAGTACAATCGCGAAAATAAACACATCCGCACCAAGTATTTATTATCTCCCCGAGTATCAATTACTCGAATAACCGCTGCTTTTCCCCACGCGTGAAGAAAAAATCGTTAACCGGGGTTAAATCAACATTTCAAACCGCCACCGCACCATAAAAAAATTCCACCACAGCTCCAGTTTAATCTACAGCTATCTAAACTTTGTTTAGTCCCAGATCAAGAATTTTATTCAAATAGTAATGAGCTGCACCAAATTGAGGCGAATCCGTGGACATGTAGCAAATTTCCTAAAAGAAAATTTCCTCAGAGACTCTCATAATTCTCAACACAAAAATTGCTGAGCGGCCGAATTAAATGTCGCCTTCATTTGCAATCTATATATCGATCGAGGAGAAGCGACCGATGAAACTACCAGATAAGAAAAATGCACACTCAAATTGGCGCCGAGAGAGAAAAAACGGAAATTTTGCGATTGTATCTGACGGAAGTTCCCGCCGACTGAAGTGTGCGACCTTCGAAAGTTTCGCGGCAGGTAATAATGACAACTATGTGGACGCACTTGCCCACGCACGCACAGACGTGTGCAGATAGGGGGAAGAAATTTTAGAAATAGCTGCGGCTTTCGCCGAATTCTTGCAGTAAGTCTTCGAGCCGCAACTACTATACGAGAAGACTGTCAATATGTTCCATTTTTGAAAAGGCGCCAACAACACACTATCATTATAATGTCATCTGGTCGTTGTATTGTTGTTAATTGCTGTAATATTTGTAATAGTTGCATGTAAGAAACAAGCAATCAAATAAAGTAAAGTAAAACCATATAAAGTAGTATGGAGCGTCTACAAATGGTGGTCACGTCGCAGTGTGCCGTGGATTTAGACACGTCACGCTTTTGCCGCCTTGTCAAAATAAAAACCGACTATTGAGAACAGTACACGATATTTATAAAAGATTATCGTTTCGTAGTGTGCTGCAAATTTAAACGTGTTATCTTATTTGTCGAACAATACACACTACAAACGTCGTCATTTAGCTTAAAATAAAAATCCATTTTTATTAACACAAACTAACTGCAATCACGACGAAGTTCTCGAACCGTCTTATTCAATATGAGTGGAAATGCAATCTCTTTTTGACAATTTTATGACACGTGATATGAGAAACCTCGTCTTGAAGAAATAACTGGGTTAATGTTTTAGTGGATTAGTTCTAACCCTTCCTAGGTTTGGCGAACTTCACCACTAACATTCAGTCATCGTGATAATTTGCTTTTGTCCGCGTTTCCGGTTGTCACGAATGAGTCCACAGTGCGTTGGATTAAATAAGTTTCAATAAGGTTTTCATCTGCGAACTGCGTCATGAATCCTTTGCATGGATCAATAAAGTCATAGAATTTCCTTAACAAGACAATTAAAATTGTCTCCCGGAAACGGGAGACTTGCTTTTCCATATTCTAGAAGCTACGTAACGTCAACAAAGATGAAATTAGTCACACGGTAATCAATTAATTATATCCGGCCTGTGTAATTAAAACGAATGCGTAATACGTCTAAAACTGTAGCCGGTGTATTTATTTGTGTTACAATAGCCGCGTCTTTATGTAATTTGTGTATTGCGTTACCGCCTTTTGTGTGCAATCTGTCGTTTTCCAAGTGTGAAACCCACACAGTCTAAACACACAGTTCTTGCATTTCAAAAATTCGGTTCATTTGGCCGCTTTTGCTACATTTTCACGTAATATACGAGATGTGTATTTAGATTTCTTGAGCCTGTTGTTTTGAAATATCGTCCGTCGTAGTCTCCCTCGGCTCTTCCTTGGCGCCACTCCTGCCAGTACTCTTCGCAGTCCGCTATCCTCGAACCGTATTTATACTGCTCTTATATTTTCATATCAACTGTGGCTAATTCATGCACGAAATGGGTTTAGTTCGGTGTGGATAAAAATCCGTGGTGTTTTTATCGTGCTGTGGCCGGTTTAATTTTAATTTTGTTCGGGTTTGACAATCGTCGCTTTAACATTTGTAATGTTTAACATTTTGAGAAAATTAAAACGGAAAAAACGAGCGCCGGAATTGCAGGTGTGTGTTCGTCCTGTGCTAACCGCACGTGTTAGAAGAGGAGAGAAGATCACTTTTTAGTCTAGCAAGTAATAATAGTGGTGTCGTGTAGAAAAAGACACTGAGTGTAATCTTTGTTTGAAACGTGAAGTGGGAGAGCTTTTGTGCTTTGTATAAGTGTACGAATGACCTGAATTTTTTGTGAGATACTTATTTACGCTTCTTAATTTGAGTTTAATTAATTATTTTGACTAGTGCATGAAATGAAACGGAAGCGGCGCCTGCTTTCGTGTAAAAACAAACAAACAAGGGAATAATATATAACTTAATTTGTGGCAATTTGGTACTTATGGAGACAATTTTTCTGGCAACGG